CCCGCCCCCCCCCCCCCCCGGTGTGAGACGTGGACCCGCCTTTCGGTCGTGCGGCTCCCCACAGCACGGTTTGTGAGCCCCCCTTTGGGTCAGTACCCCCCATGCCATGCAAACACCCCCTCCCTTGGGTCGTGCCCCCCCCTTTAGCATGGGACGTGCCCTCCCCGCCCCCCAGCACGGGGCCCGCCTTTGTGTCCCAGCGTCTGCTGCATCTGCTCTGCATTATGCTCTAGTAGCCCCCCGGAGGGTGCCAGCATAGGGAAGGGGGTAGCTTCACAGCCCCCCTGCCATGGGCTTAAAAACGCACTGGCTGTAGTTCTTTTCCCAACGGAGGCCTTTAGTTGAGTATGGAGACAGTATGTCTGCTGTCCCAGATGACTTGACACGGCCCAGCTTCCCCTGGGGCTTTTGCGAGCACATTGTGTTGCTGTTTCTTCATCCCATTTGAGGCGAAAATGTTTCGGTCCCACCAGCAGTGATGCCCCTGTGAAGCCGGGGTAGGTAGCGTACCCCAGAATGGGAGAAGGAATTCCAAGGCTGTAGGTGGTTTGTGGAGCGAGCCACGTTTTGTTAGGGATGAGCCATTTTAGTGTTGTCTCACCTTACATATATGAATCATAGAGAATAAAAACAAAACAAAGCAAAGTATGTTAAAGGAATCCTTTAATGCAAGCAACAGTTCTTTACCATGAGAAGAAAACATGTCCAAAGGTACTGTAAAATGAGTTCAGATCATGAATTCTTCTACTAAATGAGTAAAGTTTGGCAGTAAGCTAAAACCACTTTCTTCCCAGACCTCAAATACTTACCAGTCAAGCACCTGAGTGTCTCCTCTGTTTTTACTCTATGGTGGTGCTCAAAGATGAGATTCTTTTCCTGTTGAGAATGCTACAGAAGCAATGCTGCTTCTTTATATGAATTACTTCGTATTAGAACTTCGGTTTTCAAATGTACACAGCAGATTCTTCTCTCTCAAGAGGAATACGCTTCCTGAGCAGTGCAAGGTGACTAGTCTGCTATGCCCCACTTCATCCACAGGAAATTTTTCCATGAGCTTTTTAAACATTCAGAAAAAATGTCTGCATATCCAGGAATTTCCAGAATAAACTAGCTGTTGTTTCCGAAAGTACTTACAGACTCTTGTTCCCATTGAGCCCACCAAAATAAATCGATCAGAAGTCTGTAGACTAAGAGGTCCAACAAAGGACGTAGAAAAATGTATAAATAAAGGAAATTCCTCTGATTCTGCATAGTCATATTTTACAGGCTCCTTATCTGATTGCTTTCAAACTTCTTCCAAAATGTTGTGGTTTGGCAGAAGTTCGTAAAGGAGAAGCTAAGGAGATTAAATGTTGTCCTTCAATTTACATTACATCCTTACTCAAGAATTCTTTCTGATAGAACCACTAGTATTCTTTGCTTTAATTAGCAGCATTAATGGCATATAAATGTTAGAGTTAAACCGTGGTTTTAAAATGTGGTTACGTATTTAATAGTAATCTTTGTGATCATTTAAATTGAAATAATGTAAAAATTTGACCTTCATCTCATTAAAAAAGTATAAACACGTTTGAGTTGCACTTTTGCTTTGTTTTTCTTACTGCTTTTCATTATGAAAAGGCAATGAGATATTTGTGTAGCAGTGCAAAAGGAGGAGAATGTTTCACATCTGAGTGAATCTGCTGTATAGGACATGTGAAATGAAATATTTTTTCATCTCAGCTTTTGGTAAATGTTTCTCGTGCAGAATATGAAATCTGATGCTTTGTGTTGCTTTGAGGAGATACTTTACCATTAAAAACACTGCTTCGTGTCTGAATAGCTTGATTGATACCCTCATCTTGGAAGTATATATGCTTGTGTTTAAATATATGTGTAAGTACTGGCAGGATTGGATTTACATCCAGATGAGAGAGGTATAATGAACAGACTTTGAGCAGTTTGATGTGTGTTTTGATTGGAAAATGGTTATAGTTGTTTATAGTTTATGACATTTACTGTGCGTTGTAATTCACTCTCGGTTTCAGCTTTTTAGTCAATTCTAGGTGGAGAGGTTAGAGAGAGTGATCGAGGGAAACACTGAAATCAGGAATGAAAACAAGAGTAGTTCTTAATAGTTTTTATTAGACCACGGCACCACAATATTTGTACAAATTCTTGAAGAGATTTGAAAAGAACAGGAAAATTGCAGGGCTGTTATCCAGAGTGACAGTACTGGTGAGGCTGATAGAGAAAGGAAGAAGGTGTTTGGTTTTTTAACAAGAAGGTGGGAATTTCAAGCAAAAATAAGAGGAATTGAGACTTCTACATAGAAGAGTGAGGTCAACAGAGTCCATGCGGTTAAGCAGTTGGCAGGGTGTAGAGCAGCTTGGGGCGTGAGGGTATCTCCAAAGAGGTGAAGCCTGCTCCTGGCCATCTGAATTCTGAAGGGTCTGGGGTTGATGGAGCAAAGCCTGTGTGCTCTGTGTGTCTGCATCTGTTACATGCAGCTGGCTTGGGAAACTGAATCTTTCCTCGGTATAGTAAGAGCTTTTAGCACATAAAATTTTGCAATTTTGCAGAAGACAAGGAAATCCATCATTGTGCAATTAACAAGATAAAATAATGTGATAAGCTAATTCACTGAAGACAAAGCACCCTATTTAAGAACTGAATTCCAGCTAGCAGGTAGTAGGGTTTTTCATAATGTAGATAGCTTTTACAAATTAGATGCTCCACTTTAAATATTAGTCAAACTATTTAAATTAATTTTTTTTTTTTAACTTGAGGTCATATTTTGAAATTCACCTTCTTCCAGTGTGTTTAAAGAATCAGTTTCCGTGATAACTGAGGTTTACGGTTTGAGCTATCAGTAATGTTTCTCTTTTTGTAATACGAGAGAAGAAGGGAAATGCCATGGTTCCTCCATCCCTGACTTTACATCTCCAGATTCTGCCTGCGTCTCTGCCCTTTTACTAGCCAGAGCTTTCTTATGGCGTCTTAAAAAGGGGTTCAGTAGGACTGACCTCCTTAGCTTCGCTTGAGTAATTAAGCTGCTGCATTCTGTTCATTGATGATGGCGCTGTATTCGATAGCCATTAGAGGGGGTTGTGCAGTCCTGAATATTTGAAGAGGCGCCTTGAAAATGGAATTCAGATCCTTCAGAAGGAAAGTTGCAAGTGGCTATGCCTGTGTCGTG